AGCAGCCCCGGCACCGCACCCACGGGCCGGGGCCCTGGGCCCGCTCCCCTGAGCTGGGCCTGTGGGCTGGGGGACCTTGGCTTGGGTGCTCCCGCGGCTGCAGGAAGGCCCCTTCGAGGGAGGGACGTCCCCGCAGCCTGTCCTCACCCGCCAGCCCCCCCCCAGGGGAACGGGTGCCGCACCCTCCTGGTTTACCGCGGCCCAAGGGCCCAACGCCTTCAGCCTGAGGCAGAGGTCGGCGCCCCGGGGCGAACCTCCAACCACAGTCTCCGCTTCCCCCACCCCACAGCCTCCGGAGGGTTGCCCCGAGGCTGGACCCTCCTGGCTGAGAAGCCTTCCTCATCCCCAGCTTCCCCCCGGCGATGCCGAGAGGGAGCCCGCGGGCTGGCCGCGAGTCAAGAACCAGGAGTAATGACACGAGAAACCGTTCTTTGCACAGTCAGACAAAAACATGCACGTGCCTTGCCCCGCACTGGAGGAGCGACGCTTTGGGTTTCCTTCTGGTCTTTTTCCAAAAGAAGGAAAGGTTTTCACCAAACAACAAAAAAATACTGTGTCAACCAAAAAAGAGCTTTAGTTGGTAAGACAGGGTTTTGGTGAGAACGTTTCCGCTGACCCAAGCAGGGCGGATGAGTGAAACCCCAGCGGGACTCGGGGAGACTGGCTGCTCAGGGAGGCAAACACCGCCCGCTCTTATCAACGCCCCCGCCCACGCCGACGCAGTCATGTGATGTGTGTGCCCGTACCTGCGCGGCGGGGCGGTGGGCAGCCCTTCGCGGGCGTGTGTCGCCGTCCTCGGAGCAGGAGACGGGGACAAGAGGCTGCCTGGCCTCTCCCCGGCGAGCAGGGACATCCCCGGCAGGGGCTGAGGCTGCAGGAGGGGAGCGGCTCGGCTCCCCGTCCCGGGCCACCGGTCCCGCCACCTGCCTTGTCCACCCCTCCGAGGGGGTGGAAATCTCCGGCTTGATCGGGAGAAGCCGAGTGACGTCCGTCAGACTCGGTGCACCGGGACGAGCGGAGCCCGAGCCAGGGCCGGAAGGAAGCAGTGCAGGGCACGTGAGTGGTGTGGCGAGCGGGAGGCTGTTATTTGGGTGTCCGGGAGGTGTTTCTGTGCGAGCAGGGGGAGCAGCTGAAGTTGGTTCCCCTGCGCGGGGTCCTACGGTGTCTGATGGGTCACAGGCTGACGTTCAACCTTTCCTTGGTTCACCAAGCTCCTATAGCAATGTATGATAAAAGTCGAGCTCAGGTCACAGCCTCCCCTCTCCCCGGGGAAATCACCGAGTCTCTGATTTCAGGTTTATTTTCTTTGACTTCAGGTCGTGTCTTTGACTTGTCCAGGATCTTGGCAGTTGTATCTCACAGTGCCCAGAACAGCAGGGGAGGCAATGCTGCACGAACCTTATAGTTCAATAGGCTGGCCACGTGCAGCCCCAGGGCCGGCGGGAGAGGCAGGGATTTGGGCTCGTGTCTCTTGGGGGTGCTGGCCCGGAGTGTGGAGCGCTGCGGGGACCAGAGACCGCAGTGCGTTTCAAGGGGGTGAGCTGCAGTCGCAGCCCTGCACGCTGTGCCTCAGCTTCCCAACCCTCGTGTCGGTCGAATCCAGCCTCACGGGTGTTTACTGCGTGGTAAACAGTGGTAAACAGGGACAGGTTGTCCCTGTCTCCTAGATAAACGTGCTCTTTATGATTTCCTTCTGCTTTTGCCTAGACGCATCACTTGAGCTAATGCCAATCCTTCTGAGGATGTCCATGACTGAGACAATGAGCCCAAAGAGATCTGTAGGAATTCATACAGGCCAGGGTCAATACTGGAATTTTTCAGCAGAAAATCCCTCTCGGCTCTGTCTCCAGCCCTGACGCGCAGGCGGGTCTGCCCTGAGGTGGGCTGCAGTCTGACGCACCTGCCAGGCAAAGGCCCCAGATGGGAACAGCTTGGTGGTGACTCCTGACACCTCAGGCAGATCCAGCAGGCATGGCCAGGTGTGGTCTCACATCCCCAGAGCCCAAACCCGTCGCGGGTTAAAACGAGCATCTCAGACTTTGCGTGGAGCCTAATGATGAGTTTGCAACTGTCTGCGCTGCTGCCAGAGGGGGTGGGGGGGGGGGGGGGGGGAGCTGCCAAAGCCACTCTCCATCATTTATCAGCAGTCCTGGTTAACGGGGGACAACTGTCTGCGCTGCTGCCGAGGGTGGGGGGGTGGAGGTGTCTCTCTGTTTCGCCTTCCCCAGGTGCTGAGCTCCGTCTTCACTCATCTCTGCTTATCTTGCTCTTGGAGCAGGACTGATCTCCCACCCGTGTTTCCCTGGCCAGGTCTGTGTGGGAAGGTGGCAAGATGGCTCGGAGGATGAGCATCGACGAGCTGGAGGACCAGCTCCTCTGTCCCATCTGGTGGGGGGGTGGAGGTGTCTCTCTGTTTCGCCTTCCCCAGGTGCTGAGCTCCGTCTTCACTCATCTCTGCTTATCTTGCTCTTGGAGCAGGACTGATCTCCCACCCGTGTTTCCCTGGCCAGGTCTGTGTGGGAAGGTGGCAAGATGGCTCGGAGGATGAGCATCGACGAGCTGGAGGACCAGCTCCTCTGTCCCATCTGCTTGGAGGTCTTCAAGGAGCCCCTGATGCTGCAGTGTGGGCATTCGTACTGCAAGTCCTGCGTGGTGTCGCTCTCTGGAGAGCTGGACGGGCAGTTCCTGTGCCCCGTGTGCCGCCAAACTGTGGACTGCAGCGCCTCGCCACCCAACGTCACGCTGGCCCGCGTCATCGAGGCGCTGCAGAGCCGGGGTGAGGCAGAGCCCACCCCGGAGTCCTGCCCGACGCACCACAACCCCCTCAGCCTCTTCTGCGAGGCCGACCAAGAGGTGATCTGCGGGCTGTGCGGCACCATCGGCAACCACCGCCGGCACAAGATCACCCCCATCTCTACCGCGTACTGCCGGATGAAGGTTGTCAGGCAGAGCTGGCCAGGGCTCCTGGGGTGGGGGTTAGGGCACCTGCAGTGCTTGCTGGCCACGTGTCCCCTCTCCTTCGAGGGACAGGCTGGAAGTGATGCCAGT